AAAAAAATTCTAGAAAAGGAAAAAGAGTACACATATCTAACAATACGCCTTTTGGTTGCCTCGTTAAAAACCTTGCAAGGAAAACCCAGTGGGACAAAATCTTGTAAGGGAAAAAGACTACAACGCGTATTAACTCCCCCTGATGAGAGCATTAATTCACATCTTTAAGCATTTTCATTCCAATCTTGTGCACCATCTTCAAAAGATCTTTGGTAGAGATTTGATGAACAAATCAGCCATATTAGCTTGAATGAATATATCGCACCTTGAAATCATCATTCTTGATAGAGATGAATTGTCTTCATATGATCTTGTTGGAATCGTCAGTTCAATATCTTCACATAAAGGTAAAAACTCTTTGTATCATACTATCATGCCTATAGTTATAGCAAGATACATTTGTGCACAAATTGCACTGAGGAAGTGGTACTTCAAGATCAAGAATTGTATATGCTTCAAGCGATTTAAATCCTTCAAGGATTGTCATATAAGTCATATAATAGACTTTAATTAGATGCATATCAAGTTTTCATGTCATGCTAGACAAATAAGATATCGAAAACTGATTGCACATATCATTGGCTTCATACTTTCAAGTGTTTGAACTGAAGGTCCAAAAACTATATGTCTTTCGTATGAAACAAATTCTATTCGAATTGTGTCTCTTTCATTTGGCCAGTATTTTTGTGTCTATATTCGACATACTTAATATCCTTATCTATACTTAGCGCTAACATAGATGTCGTCGACGAACATTTTATATCGGTTCCAGCTTTATTTTCATAAAGACATGACATAGAGATCTCTTCATTCATATTTTCAGGTACCTGAATCTCTCCTGAGACTTTATGAAGTGTTATGTCATGTGATCTTCTAGATCACTTGCCTCCTTATTATGATCATTTTGATCATTTGCTCATCTTCTATATTAAGAAGTTTATTTGAAACCGATTTGTCTATATGCTTTAAGCGTACCATAGACGTTGTCCTTCTAGGACTTAATAAGAGCATTTGCAATGAGAATATAGTTACTTTCTTTGGGTCAACAAATGCGTCTGTCATGATTTGCAATATATTGCATATGAATTATCCTTTTATGAACTTCAAGTTCATATTATTTTATTCGATGATCTAGATGTACACATGATAATTCATTCCACGTAACTTTTTCTCAACTGTTTATCATGTCTCTCCCTCATGTTAGAAAAACTAACATGTTTCCTCAACTTTAAGAACTCATCTTTGTGCGTTATGGTGTTAATTAAAATATACACCGCACATCAATAATAATAAGATGGAATTATTTGGTTTCTGACCCTGAACCACTTGTGAGGGGAGAAAATAATATACTTTGGTATATACCGTATATCAAACTGATATAAATAACTTTGTTTCCATAAGCAATTGTTTAGCTATTAAGTAGAGGCACTTAACAAATTATTTTGCTAAACCAACCGTGATGCAAACCAACTTATCAAGATGAACTTCTTGAAAAAAAATCTGGAAATTATGCTTGAAATTAAATTATTGGGCAAGTTGCCTCGCAAACACCATGTTGCGGGATAATAATAATCGCACATGTAACCATATCATAGATGCATCTTATGTGGTATACATGGCAGGTGAATGGGCCATATTCACCTTTGATATTTCCAGCATTCATGGGATTCAATCCCAGTTTTAGTTGGTATATTAATTAATGAGAACAAGCAATGTAAGAGAATTCGTAAAGAACTTTCTAGTTCTTTAATATTTACCCATGTGAATTCTCTTTTATTTTTTGCACATCATACTTGAATTAACATGGCTAAACCAATTATGCCAACTGGATAAATTATCAATATTGATAAACTTCAGGTTTACACCATGATGTGTGCAATTATGAATAAACTCCAAGTTTATTATGATATGGGTTTTTATATCAATAAATATCCACTTTATTGTGGTATTCTTTTATTTATGTAGTACAAACTGGAGAATAAAGCGGGTAGCTTTTCACATACATATTACCCAGCTACAAGTTGTAGTAATAGAAGATATTAAATCTTTCCTTTATTTATAGTCTCAATATAATCAACCGCTTTCGCGTATACTTTGGAAACTGAATAAGTTTCTTTGAGACTTACTACAACACAATACCTTATTGGTAATCAATTGTGTTTCTCCAGAATAGTAATAATTGGCTCTTCCAGAACTCTTAATTAATTTGATATTACCACATATTCATCAACATCCAGATGGTGAATATCTCTTTTAAAGAGAAAGTTATACCATTATGGTTATGGTCAAAATTATATGCAAGATCTGTTTCTTGCATTACTGTTGTCTTTTAATAATCACAATGCCAAAATATTTTGGCATACCATAAGTACGTGACCAATGACCATTCATGCCATAAAAATGACATTATTTTCTTATATCATCTCAAACCTCCTTCTAGAGGTGAGTGTGGTATATTCACTACCACTAGCACGTTCATATTCTTCCAAGAATGAATATGTATTCATAAATAAGATGTTGTCACATTCACATCATGAATGGACCATAATCATCTATATGTACTTTATAAAATCTCATGTCAAATCGATGACAAATATTC